TAACACATAGACTTTTTCCCTACTTCGCATTTTTTGTCCTTCTCTCTCTCTTTACTTTTCTGAATGCTCGCTCGTTTTTTATCTGTTTCATCTCGCCACAACGTTTCCACTCTTAACTGTTCTTCCTTAGTTAATTTAATGTTTCCTGTGGCTGCTGCAGCTTTAACTTTGTAAATACTGACTAAATCATGCCATTGTTGACCCTTTAATCTTCCGTCCACCTTGTACTTTTTGTGCCATTTTTTCATAAATTTTAAGCTGTCTGGGTGACGCTGATGCATAAATCTCATGTCTTCCTCCAGCCTGTCTACTGATGTAGCGTTTCCCATTTTATCTATGATGTTGCATTCACTGGTTTAGTAAAGAAAGCTGGGAGAACACGGTAAATTCCAAAATGAAAATAATTAAAAAGAGGATCAGACTGCTGGCGAAGGCAAGAATCAAAATGGACTTTTCAGACAACATTTACACAAACAGTCAACCACCGCAATAAATCAACACTTCCCTCTTTCTTTCTTTCTTTCACATACACACACCCTCAGAACCTCAGCCGAACCTCCTCACACACACAAACAGACTACACAGAGTCCACAGCCGGACTTAAACACAATCACAGATTATAACCACAATGCGACAAAGACAAAACCAATAGCTTAGTCACAATCAACAACTTACTTAAACACAATGAACAAAACCAGGACAAAACTCACAAACCATGAAACAATAAAGGTTGAATTTAGAGACAGTTTGGGTCTTTTGAGCCAAATGAAGCGGTGATCGTATTTCGTACCTCTGCAGCACCTAAAATATTTAACAATCAAAGCAACAGTGTGTTTACTGGTGTTTATTGAGAACTTATATAAACTTTGCCAACACGGTGGTCAGCCGGCGTTGCGCAAATATACTGTGGCAGCTTTAACGCACTTTTTTATAGCTATCCGCTTTAACGTGGCTGCACATAACGTCTCATTACAGCGCCATAAGATGGCGGGTTGACATCATCTATCTATGCCATGTGCATCCCAAGTACATATGTAATAGATTTAAATGTGTTGCCAATGCGCAGCAGCCAGGTGTAGTTCAGTGCAGAAAGCAACCAAAGGAATCCGTCAAACCCCTCCTATTGACTGCTGTAAAGGAGCATGTGCTTAAGCCAATCTGCGTTTGGCCGCTTTAACGCAGCGCTGTTTTATTTACTCAGTCAGCTCACTTTTCGTGCAGCTTTTTATCATAGGTCTGCAATTTCAGTCTTATTACTGCCCACCTGAAACCGTGGTGGGTTGGACCGAGAATGTGGACTCAGTCCCCATTACAACCTCCTGGGTAGCGATCTATGGCCACCGTCAGTTTCTCTCAATTCTATTTCAAGTAGACAAGTGCTACCGCAATCAACCGGGTCCAGGACAAGACTCAGCTTACAACAGCTGGGGTGCAAAACGTCTCTCGCGCCGGAAAGGCAGACCCAGGCGTAAACACACTGTCAATCAGCCGTTTAGCCATTCATGAAAGCCGTTCATGAAAAAGGGTGCGAAATAAAAAAGGTATTTACTCCCCCCCATGCGTGATGGATTCGCCCCAAATCCGGGGCGTGTGAGCCGTCGGTGGAAGTTCGTCTGCGGAGCTAAGCAGCCGGCCGGTGAAGGAATCCCAGCCCCCCGGGCTTTAGTAGAAAGCGGCGCCTCGTCGGCTCCCAGGAGAGGACCTCCCAGCTTCTGGCTCAGCACGACAGGTTCACGGCACCAAAATGTTAGGTAATTTTATCAGTCCAGGATTACCTTAGGGAAAGTTTAATGGACAGGGGGTTATTGTAATCAATCATTCAACACCAATACCAATTATAAACAACCAATTTAGACTTTGCAAAGTGGAGAGAAAAATCAATACACACCAAGCGTGGATTCAGATCGCTCTCTCATCAGACTTACGTCCTCCGGCAGAATTTATTGAAGCACAGAGTTGAAAAAACACACACACACACACATATCACAGTACTACGTAGACCCTAAGGCGGGAAGCTGCTCGCCTCCAGGTGCACACTGAATCAACAAAGCAGTTTCTAGACTTTTTCTCATGGGAGTGTTACTGATAAACCAGACCAAGCTGGTCTGAGGCAAGGTCAGTCTTCCCTGTGGAGACTGGTGGAGACTATCAACAGGATGAACCTGCGTTTAAACATTTTTAACAAAGCACCAGATGTTCTAGCAGTCGAGACATTAACATTAATTCAATAATATCAGTTTTTACTGAACAGTTCGTTTTTCCCTTGCTTTTAGTGACGTCTGCTTTTTGGGAGGTGCACTCGTGATGTATCGTATCCTAATAGAGCAAGACATCGTGCAGTTTGGCTCACTGAAATCTTGTGTCGTACAGTGTGCCACCTTTCTGGAGTTCTCACAAAAATTGCAATGCGGTCCCAGCTTTAGACTACTTGTCTGAAGCCTGTCTGAGCAACACCTCCCTGGTCTGTTTACAAGTAGTTAAAAATGCCTGTGCATGGCTTCTGACCACATTCTCCAAAGACACCCGCATCACCCTGCTACTTCACACAATCAAAGAGAGTGCAGCAAAAGTGAAAGCCCGCTCCCCACAAGCTTTGCAGCTCATTTTGGTAACGTGTACCAGTAGGTGGTCAGCAGACCTTCATGACCTGGAGGGTATGCAGGGGGTGAGCAGCTCTTACAGGTAGAGAGGAGCTAGATAAACCAGAGCTTTTATGGCATAAGTTAAAACTTTGAGCTGCACTCAGCAGTGCACTGGGAGCCAGTGTACATTGGCTAGAATGGTTGTGATGTGACAGCATCTGAGTTTGAAGGAAGTCTTGCTGTGGCATTCTGGACTTTCTGTTGAGGACAGATGCATTTACATCAATGAGAACTGGGTTGGCATAGTCTGGAGGTGATAAATGCACAAATAACAGATTCCAGGTGCTCTCTTTTAAGAATGGGCTTCAGTCGGGTTAGGCAACAAAGCTAGAAGAAACAAGATTCTACAGTGGCATTAACATACGAGGACATTGAAAAATCTCCATCCAGCTTAATCCCAAGGCTGGTCACACAGGGATTAAGGTTTAGGGAGGAAAGATCAAAGGCAGCAGATGCATGAAGATTACTTTTTAGTTTGAGGAGAATGGCCTCAGTATTGTCACTGAGCCTTAAGAAGTTGGAAGCAAGCCAGATTTTAATTTCCAGGAGTTTTAGAAGCAGATTAGTGGAACCTGACTGCCAAATCAATCTGACAATCGTCAGAGTAGCGATGGGAGTGCATGCCATGTTTAGTTAAGATGCTTTACCATAACATATTTATATATTTGTAAAGCACATTTAACCACTGTGTCAGCTGACCAAAGTACTCGACAAGGAAGGGGCAGCAGATGTTGCCCGGTGGATGAATGTAGATGGAAAAAAATGGTGGACCCAGAATATAGCCTTGGAGCACTCCCCAGAGGAGATGTTGTAGTTTTTAGGGCTTTAGAATCAGAATCAGAAAGAATTTTATTGCCAGCGCTCCAGCGATCCAGAGCATAGGAACTTGACTCCACAGTACAGCCTGACCAAGATTACACACACACATATAGACAGGACAGATACAGGCAGACCGCGAGAGCAGCCATAACGGCGCTCATTTCAGTAGATGAAGAGGGGATTACATGGGGAGAGTTCGGGGAGGGAGAAAAAGGCATTAACAGAGCTACACCGGCAGGGTGTAGCTCTACTATGCAAAAAAAACACCCAACATACAAGCACGAACGTCACAGTTCATAACATGAGACCCGGTAGGTAGGGGGGATGGGCTGGGACCCTGGTTTCCTCAGCGGGAGCAGCCTGTGTGGCGCTCGGCCAACTGAATCCACAGGTGGGAGGGAGGTCACGGGAAAGCACAGAGCACAGCGAGTGCCTCCAACTTGATGACCTCGGTGCGGAGACCACAATCTGAAGGGGGGGGGTTCACAGCATTTGTCTGCATTCCTTCCATCGTGTTTTTTTTTATACACAACTCCAAGGCTGCTTATGGCGTCAGATTCGATAACAAGACTTTGTTTGGGTCAGGCAGAGATAATTTTCCTCTCTGCCTTAAAGTCTGCATTGATCATTCAAATCCTCCAAGTGAAGCCAATTCGGTGAGTAAACATCTCCACACCGTCCGGTGACCCTCTCCGAGATGACATCCAATTTGCGCACTAACACCGGTAACGCAGCTAAGACATTGTCCAGCTTGCGATTTACCTCGAGTAATGTCCCAGTCTGTGAGGTCTCCGCCCGGATGGTGCCGTTCATGGATGCGGGTCGCCCTCCAATCGCTCCCGTCATCCCAATTTTACGGAAAACCAGATATCCTCCCATTCCAATCAGAAGAAATCCAGTGATCATCAGGCCAAATATCCACACATCTTTGACGTCCTCAATGGACAGCTGAGAGAGACAGATGACATTCCACTTCTTCCAGGAATCGAGCATATATCCCACTGCATGTGTCCCGTGAGGACAAGCGCGAGCCCCCTCCTCCGTTCTCATCGTAGAAAAAATCTTATCAATCGCGTTGAATGACCAATTAATTAAATCCATTTCTGAAAAATAGTGATTTCCAGAGGAAATGCAGAGAAGCGCTCTGTAGGCAGACAGGACAAAAAGAGCCTTGGGAAAAAGCAGATAAGGGAGCAAAGCAGAAGCGACCGTGCTCTGTGAGTGCCAGAAGAGAGGACCCTGATTTACAAGGACAAGCACCATCATTCATGATCTTCTCTGTTCCTACACCCCCAGCAAGTTGTTTTTGTATTTTTAGGGATCTCATGTATTTTTTTTCATTGTTTTATTTTATGTGTTTTTAAGTTTTTATAGGGGTTGTGATGCCCCTTGTCATTTTTATCTATTTAAAAATGACAACTTCTTCTTTCTTCAACTGATACAGGGTGTAACCAGACAAAAATACTGTATCTGGAGGAAAACCTCTGGAAGTTTTCAGTGTGCCATGTGCCTCATCAGCTGCTTTTGTCTTGTGTTCAGGCCTTCTTTGTCGGGGGAGAAAACCACCTGGGGGAGCCCATTCCCATTCACAAAGCCCATGAGCACATCTTTGGGATGGTTCTCATGAATGACTGGAGTGGTGAGAATCAAACTATCACTATATTTTACATCACAGTCAGTTTTTTCATTCAAATATGTCAATGGGAAACTATGTCTGCTAATTTTTAAAACAAACATCCAACAATGTACAATTGCACAAATATATAGGTACACATCTACGGCTATAAAAACTTACATGGTTAATAAAACCCACAAGAATCACACTTTCATATTTTTATTAATCTGAAATAATTCCAGAACTCTGCAAACTTTGAGCAGCAACATAAAATATGATACGTAGTTGCTGGACCCTGATTTCAGCTTTCACATCTAGGGTTAATATTTGGAAATATTTTGGCATGTTTAGATTTGAGTAATTTACCACTTTAAACTGCATCAGCACAGTAAGTAAGTCACAGGAATGAAACTTTTATTCTCTGACATTAAATGTATTTTAGACAAAAAGTCTGAACTTTCCAGTTCCAGATCTGGAATCAAAACAAAACTTGTAAATTTGATTAGGATTGATGAACGTTCTGCCAGACTGAGTAACAAAGGTTCTCGGAAGATCTGCACAATGACTTTATCTAGTCTGTGGGATTTTTTTCAACATGCCTTATGACCAGTACAAAGCCACTAAAAAAAACTAATCCCAAAATGCACTGGCACAAACCTTTCCCCATCAACAGGTGACCTGCAGAAGCTCACGTGTGTAAAAACAGAATAAACTCTGCATCCTGATCCCAGATGAACCTGAACTAGAAAGGATCAACTTCATCTATTTTTTTACTTTGTTCTTAACGTTGATTGGAGTAATGTTTCCATGTTTGGATATTATTATTATTAAGAGTTTTCTGACAAAAGAAGAGATATTCACATTATTAGTATTTCATAGATATGACCTCATTTATAAAACCAATAATGCCTGGAACCATCCAGCTCCTTCAGAGGCAGACTGAGACATCCCAGATGTACAACAGAACACCACCGTAGGTCATTCATCCCCTCTGTTGGGTATTTTTATATCCTAAAATGACCACACAGGAGAAAAGGATCAGCAGGTTTTTTACGCTGTATGCAGTGGTGAGAGAGACAGGACGAGAGCCTGTTAGGCCCTCGTCCGATCAACTCCGGCCTCCCCAAAGCACCACAGCTGGTTTTATTAAAACACAGGAAGAAAAGGACAAAGAACAATCCTTCACTGTCCACACTTAGCCAATAACAGTGGGGCTTCTACCTAAGGCGGGACATTCCAAAAAGAAAGTCTTAATTTATGACTGACAGCCAGAAACTCAGTAACCATGGATACTTGTTGCCAGACAGGCTATTCCCCAACCCCCATGCTTATCAGCCGCATACCAGAGCCAAGAGAGAGAAGAAGAAAGAACTCTGTGGCTTACTTCACAACATAAGATTAACATCTGATTACTTAAAACGGAACATTTAAGACAGTAATACATTAAAATACCTAACACCCTCTGCAGTAAGAGCGTAGAAACCTGGTACACAACAATGTCAATGCAATATTCAGGATGTGTTCAATACTTGTGCAATACCTAATGAACATAAGTATGTCTGTGTCCCCTATGCTGTTCTGGAAACACGAGCTTTCTATTTACAATAATAGCTTACTGCCATTGTGTGTTTACCTGTAATCTTATTATTTTTCTTCTTCTTTTCTCCAAGTGTATGTGCTGCTGTAGTAAGTGAATTTCTCCACTGTGGGATCAATAAAGCATATTCTATTCTATTCTATTCTATTCTATTCTATTCTATTCTATAATAGAAGGTTTGGAAACATTAAACAAGAAACCCATCTCATTCAGGTTTAATTTCCTTTGTTCTCAGCCAGAGATATTCAGGCTTGGGAATATGTTCCCCTTGGGCCTTTCCTTGGGAAGAACTTTGGGACCACCATCTCACCGTGGGTTGTGCCAATGGAGGCACTCTTACCTTTTGTAGAGCCAAACCCAATCCAGGTGAGTACAGGGGTTTGAGGTTACAGTAGTGGAGGTTTATTCCTGTTAAACCGGAGTTTTCCTCTCCACTGTTGCTACATGTTTGCTTAGTATACGGCAACAGCTTTCGACATTGTAGACAACAACATTTTATTATCCCAGCTTGAGCAGTGGGTGGGGATCACCGGATATGCAGTGGGGGGAGTGGGGTGGTGGCCTCTGCGTAGCGCTTGGCAACTTCTCCTACTCCAGTGTCAGTCTTGTTGGGGTACCACAGGGCTCTGTTTTGGATGCATTGTTGTTTTCCCTCTATCTGCTGCCCCTTTGTTCACTTTTTTGGAAGCACAAGGTCAATTTTCATCTGTATGCTGACAATTGCCAGATATTTACTGCAGGCTCAATCAAGCCATTTCTTCTTAGCTTTAATCTGGCCACAAAGCATAAAATTGACCTCTCTTTGCTGGCCTCCTTAAAAGGCTAGTTTATCAGAAGGGTTTTATTTCCATATGTATGAGAATCACAATATTAGGAAATTGCTGCGGTACTTGGTACAAGAAAAAATAAATGACAGGCGAAAATTAGAAGTAAGAAATAAACATGAAATGATTACAATGTGGGGAGGCAATAATTAGAGAAGCAGCAACTTTATTCAAGTGACTGGGGTGGCCACTTCTATGATTGACATTAATGAGTCCGACCGCAGAGGGGAAGAAACTGCTTTTGTGGCAAGAGGTTCTGGTCCGAATGGATCAGAGCATCCTGCCAGATGGGAGCAAGTCAAAGAGACTGTGTTAAGGGTGAAATGGGTCTGCTGTGATCTGACCTGCATGCCTCAATGTCCTGGAGGTGTACATGTTCTGTATAGAGGGGAGTTTGCAGCCAATGACCTTCTCAGCGGAGAACACAACATGCTGCAGCTTCTTATTGTCCCTGGTGGTAGCTTCAGCATACCATACAGTGATTGAGGAGGTACGGATGGACTTGATGACTGCGGTGTAGAACTGCCTAATCTACTTTACTGGTAGGTTAAATCTCTTCAGCTGCCTCAGGAAGTTCATCCTCTGCTGGGCCTTTTTTATGATGAAGGTGATGATGGGCTCCCACTTGAGATCTTGGATGATGGTGGTGCCCAGGAAACGACATGAGTTCACCATTATGATGGGAGTGTCAGACAAAGTTATGGGGGGAAGTGGGACTGTGTGCTTCCTAAAGTCCACAACAACTTCCTCTTTCTTCTGTGCATTTAGCATCTGGCTGTTATGGCTGCACCAGGACACCAGCCATTCGACCTTCATTCTGTAGGTAGACTCATCCCCATCCGAGATGAGCCCAAAGACGGTGGTGTCGTCTGCAAACTTGATAAGCTTGACACACTCGTGGTTAGAGGTGCAGTCGTTAGTGTACAGGGAGCAGAGCACAGCATAAAGAACAAAACCCTAAGAGGAACTGGTGCTCTAAAACATTTTTCCCAGCCTCATTTGCTGCTTCCTGTCCATCAGGAAGTCGGTGATCAACCTGCAGTTCATGACAGGCACATTCATCTGGGACAGTTTGTCTTGGAGGAGGTCTGGGAGGATTGTGTTGAAGAGCTGAGCACTGAAGTCCACAAACAGGATATTTCTCCATCTGAGTCTGTGCAGAGACATGCAACACTATTATACGCAGTTGCAAGGGCTATTCAACATGCTCAAAAGGACGGACAAAGTAGAGACCACTTTTCTGAATGTTCGTTGAAAGTGTAACCGGATTACAGGATACAATAAGATAATTAAAAGAAAAAATAAACAAATGGGCCAATAATTAGGTTCGGGGAGAATTGGAGGTTGTTTAAGAATGACTGGAGTCACGGGTATAGCATGAAACGGTTTATATACTAAATTTTAATAATAATGGGAAATATAACACATAAAGATAACACACAAAAACAGATGAAAACAATCGACAATAGTAAAATGCTCGGTATGAGATTTGATCATATGAGTCACAAGTCAGCCGGCGTCAAGTCAAATCCCCACGCTTGGGGTGAAAGTCAGAGTCCGGTGGTGCGATTTTTTCCTACCACACCGTTGAGATTGTTCACAGAAGAGAGCAGTCTGCTCTTCAGTTACTTGAGATGTCCTGGTTCGTTCAGTGGTTAAGGCTCGCCATCTCCCTCGTCAGGAAGAAATCCAGTTCTCGTTCCAAGTGAGTGATCATAGGAGTCGGGATCAAACCCAAGGAAAAAAAAAAACCCAGCCAACGCGCTCCAACGGTTCCCTCCTACAGAGGATTGGTTCACTCTGTCGTCTCCACACAAATCGCGTTGGTTCCAAGTTCCTAGCTCTTATTAGAAGGAGTCAAGTCCGCCTCTTCCTCTATCTATGCGGCACCCAAATCAGGGTTCTTCACGGCCTCGACCGTTGTTTTTTTTTTTCTCTCTCTCTCTCTCTAACCGCTCAGTCTTTGCTTTCTGTATCTGCGTGCTGCACAGCCGTTTGTCTCTCCTCTCGCTCAGCTGCGTCGCACGGTTTTATTTCGCGGAGGCGGGACTTATTTCTCTCAGCCAATGAAATTTCAGATTCCCACCTGGACCAATAGTATACAGCTTTCCTCTTCTGTTTCTGTTAGTGATGTTCAAGATTCTTGTTTTAACCGATGTTTAATATTAAACTCGTTATTTTAGATATTCACCCTTCCAATAATTCATTATGAAATTATCTATTAGTTAATTAGATATCTATTAATTAGTATTGTTAATTTCCTTAATTTATATTTTATATTTTATCTAAATTGAGGATGGATCATATTAGTAAGCCAATTAGTTAATACCTCATTAAGGTTCTAGCTTCTGGGTTACATCCTCCCCCATTAAATATCATGCACGTCCCTGTGCATTGTTTCTACGGGGTACACAACTTCTTGAGTAAGAGAGTCAATAAAAGCTTTATTAAGTCCTTGGAAAAGGGACCTAACTACGGTCACTAGTGGATTGCCCAATTGAGAGTAAGTTAGTCTTTGAGGAGGCTGACTACTTCGTTCAGATCTCCTGACATACATCTCTGGTTGCACAGTATCATGCTCATCCGTTTCGGTTTGATTCTCAACTGAGACAGGACGAAGTGAGCTCTCTGTTTCCGACAGAGCTGATGAGCTATTCTCTAAGACTTTGGTCTTTTCAGATGTATGTGTCTGATCGTGTATGATGGGTTCAAAACTTACATCACGTTGCTGCGACTTTAGGACACCATCCAATTGAGGTAGGTTTGTGTTAGTTTCATCCCCCGTTTCTACGTCAGGTAAGTATACTTCGTTTTTTTTCGTTTTTTCAGGTAAGTATGTTGCTGCTTCTTTCACTCTTTCAGGTAAGAATGTCGCAGTTTCACTCATTCTGTCAGGTAAGAATGTTTCGGTGTTGATGCCTTTGTCAAGTAAGGACAATTCAGCATTTTCATTACCAGCTAAGGTTGGTTCCTTGCGATCCCCTGTGTGTAAGGATAGTGTGTTTTGTTGTTGAATATTATTTACCGGTCCTGAATCTGCTATGAGTTCCCTATTTGGCAAGGTGACCGCTATTTGATAGGATGGTCGGTTTAGCACTTGTGGAAGATCAGAGTAATAAAACTCATCTACCTCTTCGTCAAGTGGCTCATCTGGGTCAGGTTCTAAGGCTGAACTCTGTCTTGTATGAGGTCTGCTAGGTTTCGTAACGCGTTCTGTTTCATTTTCTAATGAAGAGAGAAAACCACAAGGCAGTAAAAGATCTCTGTGGAGTGTTCTGTTGGGTCCTTCTCCGTTCTCTGGTTTTACAGTGTATACTGGCAAGTTTTCCATCTGTTTGAGAACTATATACACTGTTTGCTCCCATTTGTCTGCTAATTTATGCTTTTCTCTTAAGCGAAGATTTCGGACTAAAACACGATCTCCCACACCTAGTGTGGACTCACGAATGTTTCTGTCGAACCGTTCTTTGTTCTTCCTCGCTGTTTTTTGAGAGTTTTTTATGACAATGTCATAACTCTGTTCCAGATGACTCTTCAGTTCTTTAACATACTGAGAATGAGTTATAGAGGGCTTGTTCAAATGCGGTAACCCAAAGGCAATATCTATAGGCAAACGAGGCTGCCTACCGAACATTAGCTCGTAGGGAGAGTATCCCGTCACGTCATTTTTTGTACAATTGTACGAGTGAGTAAGTGGTTTTACAAAATCGCGCCAGTGATGTTTCTCAGTGGCTTGTAAAGTTCCCAACATGCTGAGTAATGTACGATTGTACCGTTCAACGGGGTTGCCACGAGGGTGATAAGGGCTCGTTCTGACTTTACGGATACCAAGTAAAGAACAAAGTTCCTTGATTGTACGTGATTCGAAATCCCGTCCCTGATCACTATGAAGACGCTCAGGAAACCCGTAGTGGACTAAAAAATGTTCCCACAGGTTCTTCGCGACGGTGGTGGCTTTCTGATCTTTGGTTGGGATGGACACTGCATACTTTGTAAAATGGTCTGTAATCACTAAGACATCTTTAGTGTTCTTACTGTCTGGTTCTATGGAGAGAAAATCCATGCAAACTAACTCCATAGGTCTGGTGGTGGTAATACTCACCATTGGAGCAGCTTTGTCAGGGAGGGCCTTCCGACGGATACATCTTTCGCAAGTTTTAACTTTGATTTCGATATCACTAGCCATTCTTGGCCAGTAAAAACGGGACCGAATGAGATCTGTCGTACGTTCAACCCCAAGATGCCCCATATCATCATGTAGGCTTTGCATGACTGTTGAACGTAATGAATCAGGCAAGACTAACTGCAATGATGTCTCTGGTCCTAATTGGCGTCTCCGGTACAGTAAATCATTTTGAAACTCAAACCGTTTCCACTCTCTCAAAAGGTTAAGAACCACCGGGGGTTCTGCAATAGTATCAGTTGGCGGTTTATTGTCAGTCATAAGCAGCTGAATGACTCGGCCAATGGTTGGATCTTTCCTCTGCAAGGAGACAAGGTCAGCATGGTTATACTTGGGCACAGCAAAGAAACTGTCACTAT